TTACATGCAGGAACTGAAGGAGGAGTAAAATATATTGGACAAGAATGGTCCATGGAGACAAAACAAAGAAGGTGAACAGCCTGTGAAGCTCAACAATTCATGTAAAAATAGCATCTGTTTGTACAACCTAATCTGTGCAAAATCAGAAAAATGAGATATACGTGTGCCAAAGAAGATCATGGCACAAAGAAAAGGAAAAAAGTTGGGGAGGGGGAATATTTCTCTTAATTTTGCTCTCTCCAGCTGCTTCAGGGAACAGGAAAAGCTTTGAGGATAAACAATGTAATATTCAAGCATATTTATGGAATTGCTGAAAACCAGTCAAAGAAGAGAAAAGAAAGAGACCACTCTGATTCAGGTATTACATGTAGATGTGAAACCACTACCTTCTGCATCAAAGGTCAGTATTTCCCAGTGACATAATGCTTGATCCAGGTCATTCATAAAATTATAGGTTCAGATTTGTCTTTTGGACATCTGCATTCAGCCCTTCCTCTTTTAAAATAAGAAGTGCTGCTTTTTACCCAACTTGGCCTTGATGAATTAGAAAGTCTTCTTAGCATTCCGTTTCCAGTATCCAGCCTAGTGCCTCTGGAAGTCTATAATCAGAATAGGAAGCTGACAAGTCTCCCTTATTAATGGCCCTTCCTTTGCCAGTATCAGGTATTCAGAGATTCAGTTGTTCTGAAGGTTTAATTCCACTATTGTAATTAATTGCAATTGGATTAATCCATTATACATTCATTTAGTTAAGCACTAACATGGACCATCTTTCAAATGCTTTGTGCTTGCCAGATTTATTAGACAATACTATGGTTCCTAAACATCTAACATGGCTGTGAGTTATGGAAATTATAGTTCTTCTAAGAGTGAGATGGGTAGTATCTAAATTAGATAGATAGATGATAAATAAATAGATAGATAGATAGATAGATAGATAGATGGATGGATGGATGGATGGATGGATGGATGGATGGATGGATAGATAGATAGATAGATAGATAGATAGATAGATAGATAGATAGATAGATAGATAGATAGATAGATAGATAGATAGATAGCTATAGATGTAACTGTAGCTGTAGGTATGGTTATAGAGATAGAGAGATGGAGAGATGTAAATGTTTGTAAGGCATTAAGTCTTTCAAAGCTACTACAACAATAAAAAAATCAATGAGAAGAGAGAAAATTCATTTGTTTGAAAAATTGGCCCATTCACCCCTATTTCTTATATGCTGCCAGTTTCAGTAACTGCTGCCCACTCATGGTCTCTGTATTTCCTGAAAAAAAGTATATGAGAAAATCTATGCTTGACGGTTGCATCAAAGACCTATTAAGTCATCCTTAACAGTGGATATGAGTGTAGTAGACTTTTCTTGCAGTTGGTCATCTGTGCTTGGTATTCAGAGGGCTCGTCCTACTTTTTTTCCCTTTTTATGACCCTGTAATCCCTTTTATTGGGATGGAGGTGGGGCGACTGAATGGAGCTGAGCGTTTTCTGGCCAGATGCTCTTCCTTACGCCTAAGCGGAGTTCACAGCAGATATGCGCCCTAATAGAGAAACATCTGTCACTATCTGGGATTGAACTCTCAACCTTCCAAGTGGGAGGCGAGCGTCTTCACCTCTAAGCCATCTTCCTGCTCTTCCTAGCTATTTCTACATATTTTCATTATCATTATTGCCATCATTTATCAATTGTCCACAAACACAAATTGTCTGGGTCAAATATGGATTAAAACATGATAATCACACTGCCAATAAAATTTAAGTAATGAAAACTGCATGAACACTAGGCAGTCTGCAACAGTAACAGCATCATCCTTGGAATAAACTTATTCCCTATACTGGACTAAGTGTCCTTGAAAGCCAGCTTAGGAAATTCCTGTGTGCTGTATCTAAGACAACTTTCCACTAGTCAGATGAATTGGACAATTTCACTTTAAAAAGAGAAAAATATCTATTTATTTTCTCTACTCCCCGAATAATTTTGCATACCACACCTCACCTTTTAAACTAAAGATGTTTAAAAGTTGTCATTTCTCCTCCGAGGAAAATTGTGGCACGAATTGAGCAAAGTTATGAGGCAAATTGTTCTCATCTGAACCTTTCCCTGCTGTCCCCCTCCAGATGGGTTGGGACAGCAGAGTCCCTTTTGACAATGTGGGCTGGGAATTTGGAAAGCAGCCCATCTGCCTACAAAAGGCTGCTGTAAGTTATTTGTAGATCACAGAGACAGAGAGACCAGAGTAGGATAATTTGAGCCTGGTCATTTCTACCTCAAGTGAGAACTCTGGGTCGATTTGTTTAATGACCCATTTGTTGGTTTTCTTGGCTGTCCACAATATTCTCAGGAGTCCCCTCCAATACCATAGTTCAAAAGCATCAATATTCAAATTCTTCTTCAAATTCCAATGTTTGCTTCCATAAATTGTCACAGGAATACCATGCTTAACATGATGCTGACCTTTGTAGTTATAGATACATCATAGCATTTAAATATCTTTATCAAACAATATCTTCATTGCTGCTCTGCCAAGTGCTAGTCTATGGCTTATTTCTTGACTATTTTTTCTTTTACTGTTGATGGTTAATCCTGAAAGGCAGAAGCTATCCAATACTCTGATATCTCCATTGTCAATTCTAAGTATTGAACTGCAGGCTGACTCTGCTCACTGCCAGGAGTTCGATCCTGACCAGCTCAAAGTTGACTCAGCCTTCCATCCTTCCAAGGTTGGTAAAATGAGGACTCAGATTGTTGGGGGCAATACACTGACACTGTAAACTGCTTAGAGAGAGCTGTAAAGCACTATGAAGTGGCATGTAAGTGCTAAGTGTTGTTGATAAGGATAGATATTCTACCTGTTGTCATTAGTTTAGTCTTCTTTATATTTAATTTTAGCCCCATTTTTCACTGTGCCCCTTAACTTTTATTACTAGAGCTTGCATTTTGGGCTTCATGTTTAGTGTCATCAGCGTAGTGCAAGTTACTGATGTTTCTTCCTCCAATTTTAAATCCATGTTCATGTTCTTCCAATCTGTCTTCCCTTAATATATATTCAGCATATAGGTTGAATAAATAAATGGAGAGTGAACAGCTCCCATTTATCTTAGAAGCAAACAAGACAAGACTCTTGATACAAAATAAAGCGTTCTTAGAAGGGTACATTTGTACTGTAACCAAAGTCTGTCAGAAATTTGTTTTATGGAAGATAACATGGGAGTGTGGAATTTTCTGAATATAAATATGTTGAATATACATTTTTCTTTCCTATCAGTGGAAAAAGAAGAGATAAAAATCTTTGGCACACATGGGGAATGCACACACACACACACATTTTAGATAACTATGAAATAATTTCCAAAGATCTGATAATTCCCTGACAAGAAACTTAATCTTCCTACTTAGGATTCTCCGCTTAGATTTCCTAACAAGTTAGATCAATTGAGACTGCCATGCATAAAGAATACTTTCTCAACTAATTACCTCTGCATGCTGGTAGTATTTTTCTAGCAGCTTTGATTTTTCTGAGACATTGAAATATCAAATGGCATTTTGGCCACACAGGCACATCATGTGCCTCTCAAAATGGTCTTTAATTGTCCTTCCCAAATGCAGCATCTGAGCTTACCTCCTTGAGTGTAGAAGGGAAGGTGGTTTCTTGCAGGTAGAATTCTGCTACACATTGGAAGGTGACTGTGAGAATGATCCCCAAACAACCCAGATGTACACATGCTGCTCGGAAAAGTTCAGGATTCACAGTTTCAGAGCACTCCAGGATTTCCCCTGAAGCTGTCAACAGTGTCATGGCCACCACCTGCCATGGGAAAAGCAAAGGATCTGGTTGAATCTAGTAATCAGCCCACCCACCACAGTACAGTACAGAGAGTTCTGCTTTACTGTAATTTGCTTGCATGCATCCATCATGAAAGAAACAATATCTGTCAACCTGCCCAGCTGGTAGACCCAGGACCATGAGTTACAATGGTAATGTATAGTCTGTATTCACATATCAAATTTAACCAGGCTAGATTTAATAATTACATATATACAACATACTGAGATAGCTTTTTTAAAAGACCCAAGATCAACATTTTTGTTCCTTAATATGCTGCAGGAACTCATATTTCAGGTAGTCCTCGTTTGGTGATCGCAGTTGGTACTGGCAACTCAGCCATTAAATGAAGCAATCATAAAGTGAAACTGTCACTGTGTTTATGATCTTACTTTACCTTTACTTTGCTTTACAGACCCGCAAAGGTTGAAAATATGATTGGTCGCAGAATTACTTTTTCATCACTGTTGTAACTGCCAATGGTTGCTAAATGAGACAGTCACTGAATGATGATTATCTGTAATATGGGTTATGGTTTACTAAATCAGGCTAAGAAAACAAAGCATCTTTGCTTTCATTACATGCTGTACCCAAACCAACCATATTATCCTTTCACTTGATCGAATGATTTATCATCTTGATTTATCGTATTGAATGATTTATCATGTGGATATTGCACACTCCAAGCAAACCACCCTGTGGCAGTTAAGAACTTAAAACAATGATATTATCAATAAAATCCAATAACCTCAGAATAAAATAACTCTTTTAAAATATGACAAATAAAACCCATAAATAATATCAACACCCAAAACAGCACAACAAAAAAAGCTTCAAACATTAAAAAGTAAAATTAAATAATCACGTGTAAATCAAGCCCTTAGATAACAGGCCCTTTGCTGCTTCCCCAAACGAACAGGGATTCTTCCGAAGCCTATGTTTCACAAAAGTAATTTTAGCAAGATTCATTGAGATGGACAGGATAAGGTTAGATAAATTCCAGCAATGGAAGCCTTTTTTCTGTGAATCAATCCATCTCTACGTTGCTATACTGGAAGTGTTTTGATTTCTTTTTTAACAGCCTTCCTATGATCCATGGAGGAGGCAGATCTTTTACTTATAACAAGGAAGACTATCTGTTCACACAACTAACTCCTGAATCTTTATCAGTTTCAGAACCAACCTTTATACTATCAGAAGAAGTCATGCTGGGTAGCTTGGTTCACACAACATGCTAAGACAATGTTGAACTACAAACATTCCAATCACACTTTAGTCTAGCCCAGTGTGCTGTATGGACATAGTCATTGTATAAACCAAAGAAGGGAAATTTTGGGTTGAGTTTGAGACAATGTAATGTTTTATAAGATATAATGTGCAGACAGTGGTGCAAAGTGGACAGGGCCATGTCAACCAGAAGGACAAGATCAGAGTACAATATTCTGGGGATTTTTCTTAAGTATTTGGCGGTGGTTATTATTCTATTCTATTCTATTCTATTCTATTCTATTCTATTCTATTCTATTCTATTCTATTCTATTCCATTCCATTCCATTCCATTTTTTAAGAGCAATCTGCATTTAGGATACAGGAGCAATAAAAGGAATTGAGAAAGCAAACTGTAGGTTCTTGGGATTCATATATCTGACCTGATTCAGTGCACAGATTTCAGAAAAGGCATTCATCTGTGAGTTTTTGATGTAACTATTTCTCACAGATAAATCAGGGAGACTTTAAATTACTGGAATTCATGTGCATCATTGCTTGATGCTATTTGATTCAGTTAAAAAAAATCTTGCTTATTTGTACGTCACCAGCCTCCATACTGATTATCATGAGGGCACTTTGGAGATATGGTAAATAGGATGCCACATTACAGTCATTACAGTTCAACTTCAGGCTAAGTTGATTATTACAGCAAAGTCCAAACTGCTCATATTTTCAACAATGGTTGTGCTTGCATGCCATGCATACTCACAGTTATCTGAACAACTTTAATTGAACAAACCCATTTACTGGAGTCTCATGATACACTGAACCATAAATTAACCCCATAAGAAGGTAGGCAAAAGTTAGCCGAAATTGTTGTCAGCTACTTTGTGACTTCTTGTGTCAGAATTATTTTGTATGTCTATTTATAAAATGGTGTTATAAAATAGAATTATTTTGTATGTCTGTTTATAAAATGTCTACTTTCTTATCTTCAGTTCAGCAAAATCTGATTGGCTATTAAAAATATTATCAGTTTCATTTACCATAAGAAGCAAAGAAAAAAATGAATGGTGCTCAACAGAATTTGAAACACAAACAATGCTGAAGACTCATATTGTTATATCTTTGAGAAAAGAGAGAGGAAAATTTCATCTGGCTAATTTTAACTCCAAATTAAAAGTATCTAACAAGCACCAGGAAGATTTACTTTGAACTGATGATTCAGTTTTAATATCCATTTGATGTTTTGTTTCCAATGAGATTTTTCAAGTATTGATTCAAACAGAGGCATCCTCAGGACGCAGTAAAAAAGGCCAAGGTAGTGGCCTTGGCTGCAGGACTCCAAGTCCTATCGATTTTTATACACATTGTATGTGCAAAATATGCAAAAGAAGCCAGAGCTTTAATTGCACAGTCATAGCCATCCGCTTGGCTTATTTTGGCCCCACCACAGATGCTCCTGGTTTCAGGTTTTGTTCTGGTTCAGGAACATCTGCTTCATCAATATAAACATCTGCAGATCTGAGACATGACCTTTGATCCTCTGTAAGGATATGGGGAATGTCATTATTCTTTTGCCCTGTTCCATCATTGGCTTTATACTTTCATTGAGTTTACAGTTGCTAGAAAGACAAGATCCTAAGGTACCATCCCTAAAATGATTTATAACTAGTATCTTCTAAAGCTGGATGAGTCTCATAGCTGGATGATGTTAGAAGACATGTAAGTAACTGATGGACAATGTCTTTTGAGACCCCAATTCTTCACAGTGCATGATGAAAGGATCCCAGCCATCCATTTTCCCAACCTAACCCAGTTTTTTCTCTCAGGAAACTTTGTCCAGCAGAGGGCACCAGTGGGCTGAATTTCAGGCTGGTGTCACCAATGGCTCTGCAATGGCTCTACAACAGCGGTTCTCAACCTATGGGTCGCGACCCCATTTGGGCATGATATAAGCATATAAGGCAGCGGTTCTCAACCTATGGGTCGCGACCCCATTTGGGGTCGAACAACCATTTCACGGGGGTCGCCAAGCAAGGCTGTCCGCCATTTTTTCCCCCTTTTCCGGCGGGTGCCTTACCTCCCTTGGGTTGGGCCAGCTGGTGGTTGGCCTGCTCCGTCTCTGCCGCTTGCCAGCTACGCCTCGGCCGGCGCAGGGGGCGGAACCACGCATGCGCGGCGCTCCCAGGCAGGGAAAGTCCTCGACTTACGACTGGTTGGATAGTCCTCGACTTACGACCGGTTTAAGTCCTCGACTTACGACCGGTTTAGTCCTCGACTTATGACCGGTTTAGTCCTCGACTTACGACCGGTTGGGGGTCGCGGCATTAAAAAGGTTGAGAACCACTGCTCTACAAAGTAAATTTCATCAATCCTCTGTTTTGCCTTCCCTACAATCTCACTTGCTGAAAATAACTTCCCAGGGGAAAGAAAAAACAAGGGGCAGGAAATAGACAAAATTAAGAGTCTGAGGCCTTTTGCATGGTGCTGCTGTGCTAGGTCTTTTTTTCAATCACTAGGGCTAGGCAATCTTCTGAGGTCACAGTGGTTCAGAGGAGAAAACAGCCTCTAGGGAAATCACACTGAAATCATTTGAAACAAACCTGCCTATCATTCTGAAAACTTTGCAGCGGAGACTTTGCTGCTATCCTAGGCAGCCATTTACGGCTTTGGTTATATACAATAACAAAGATGGACTTCCATTCTAGGAAGCAAGAGAGGCCACAATATGAGCCAATATTATTGCTTTAAAAGTCTGCTCTCTGCACAGTTCTACGTCAGTCAGCAGTCTACTGGCTTTGGGCTACATACTACTGTGAACCTGAGGATTGCTTCACCTCTCCTGTCTTTCTCTCATGTATATATGCACACACAGGCAGAACAGAGTCAACATAATGCTAAACTACTGCTTAGTTTTGCCATTTGAACTCTGCCACAAATGTTATAAGCTAACATTTAAACTTAGTATGCTGTGTAAACTAGGCAAATATAGCTAGTTTAAATAACTGTGATTAAACAAGCAATGATTGAGCACAAACTGTGACCAATGGCAGTGGATGCCATAATCTAATTTATAATGTGATGAATTTCCAGTTTTTTGTCCTGAATCTCCTACCATTAATCTTCCAACATCATGTCATGATATTGAGCCAGGTGGCGCAGGGGTTAGCATACAGTATTGCAGGCTAACTCTGCCCACAGTCTGGAGTTCAATCCTGACCAGATCAAGGTTACTCAGCCTTCCATCCTTCTTAGGTGGGTAAAATGAGGAATCAGATTGATGGGGGCAATAGGTTGACATTTGTAAACCATCAGAAAGTGCTGTAAAGTATTATGGAGCAGTACATGAGCCTAAGTGCTAAGTGCCATCTACTTTCTCCAAATCATGCCTTATATCAGTGGTTCTCAACCTTTTTAATGCCGCGACCCCCAACCGGTCGTAAGTCGAGGACTAAACCGGTTGTAAGTCGAGGACTAAACCGGTCGTAAGTCGAGGACTACCCAACCGGTCGTAGGTCGAGGACTTTCCCTGCCCGGGAGCGCCGCACATGCGTGGTTCCGCCCCCTGCGCCGGCCGAGGCGTAGCTGGCAAGCGGTAGAGACAGAGCAGGCTGACCACCAGCTGGCCCAGCTCAAGGGAGGTAAGGCACCCGCCGGAAAAGGGGGAAAAAATGGCGGACAGCCTTGCTTGGCGACCCCTGTGAAATGGTTGTTCGACCCCAAATGGGGTCGCGACCCATAGGTTGAGAACCGCTGCCTTATATGCTTATATCATGCCCTGCTTCCTAATCTCAAGATGCATCCATGGATATTTGAAAGTTAGGTTACTTTGACTTGATACGCATTGTGTTACTTGTGCTGATATTGCTATTTTCCAACTGAAATTTGCATTCTGCCTTCTGCACTCTGCACTTTGAGATTCTCTTTGGGAAATTACCTTGTTCCTTTTCATTGCAGCTGCAAAAATTCCTGATTCTGAGCCTGGATCACTGCTAAAGTTATAGGAACCCCATGCTCTTTTGCATCTGGTCACCTAAATATTCCCACTGCACATTTACTTTTGTTCACATGTTTGAATATCACACTCCTAGCTGGTTCTGGGAGGTCTTCTGTATGTCGACATGGACATATTTATAAGCACTTGCATCGGAAGAAAAATCCTGCCATTGTAAAACTTCCTCAGGAAGTTTTCCTCTAGTTTTCAGGCAGGAAAATGATCTCAGAGGCAGAAAGAGACATGGAACCAAGATTTTTCAAATATGTCTTCCTTCCTCAACCCCTCATAGCACAAACTGTCTTTTAGGCATATAATTTATTGACCTTTGTCCCACTTTCTCCCCATTTCCTAAGATTTTCCCCTTTGTTTTTCTGACAGAAACATTACTGTCAGCTGCTCGTACATTTTATGTCTTTTTGGTTCTCAAAAGACCATCTTGTCATCTCTTTCGTCTCCCAATTGATTACCTGCCCTATATTAGCCTTCCCTCTCTTTCTTTTTTTAACAGCCTTCCCTTGTCATGTCTTACAATTCACAGATTTTTGGGGGAGAAAAATTATTAGCCACATTGAAAGGCAGGTAATCTAGGTAGCTCCCATGTCTATACCAGGGAGAGCAATTTGTTTTACAAGTAGCCACAAATTGCTATTAATGGGCTACGGATAATTGGAGAAAGGAATATAAAAGCTCTGGCTTCCACGTAAGCGTCCCTCACCCCAATTCACCACTACAAACCCCCACACTTACACCGTATATAAGATTGGCAACAAAGATGGTCCTATTCAGCAACGTCATAACAATATTCATGAATTAATGCAAATGAGCCTTTATATGGATGCTCTTTGTTTGTATGCACTTTTGCAAGTACAGATAGTCCTTGGCTTATGACCACAATTAGGATCAGAATTTCTGCTGCTAAGCAAGGCAGTTGTTAAGATGGGTCACCCCTGATTTTATGACCTTCTTTGCAAAAGTTGTTAAGCAAATCCCTACAGTTATTTAATGAATTGTATGGCCATTAAGCAAATTTGGATAAGATCTGGACAACAGATACTGAGAGACTGAGAAATGCATCTCCTTAAATATCCCCAAGCAGGACCTTTAGCTTAGCTTCTTCATGGTGGAATTTAATCTGCTCCATGCCACCTGGATCCCAAAAAGTAGACTTTCCCTTTCTCTTTCCTACTATCCTGTTGCAGGGTAAGGCTACCTAAAGCTAAAACAGGGTCATGTAGGAGACGATACTTATTTGGAAGACTTTGGAAAATTGATGCCAATCAGTGCCAGCAATAGTGATGTAATTAAACATTTGCACTGATTTAGTAAAACATTTTATTTACATGCTTGCAAAGAATAGACAGATTGCTGCCCATAAACTACATGTGATTTCCTAGCCCCAAACCTTGCATTTTTACCTTCAAATTTGGTATGTGTGTGAAAGAAAGACCCAGAGAGAAAGAAATAGAAAAGGGTTGCTGACATGGCCTCAGTACTCAGTACTTTTGTGGCTGGTTATTTATTTTTTAAACATCCCTTGGTATGATGAAATGGCTAACAGACCCTGGGAATGTAAAGGGACTGCATCAATTACAGGAGGAATCCAGGCCCTTGACAAGCCTCCCAAGTCCAGGAGAGGGCATCTGAGAAAGAAACTCAGAGTAACTCTGCTGTAATTATGCTAGGTATAAATTGAACTGGAGTAGTAGGCTGTTAAGGTTTCTGTTACTACATCCTACTTAAAGATCTAAATCAGAGGTCTTCAAACTTGGCCCTTTTATGACTTGTGGACTTCAACTCCCAGAATTCCTAAACTGAATTCCTAAACTGAATTCCTAAACTGAATTCTCAAACCTCACAGACAATTGACAGCTGGGGTTCAGGAGGCAGCCCTTTTGCTCCACACTCATTTTTATTGTTTTTCAACAGAAACAATGCTGAGATGTCCCTGGCTGAGCCTGCCTTTTTCTGTATGTTATTGGTTCATTTTGATTCATTTGAGGGCAGATCTGTGAAGTGCCACACAATATGTCAGTTCTGTGCCTATTTAGATGTGCAAACATTCACTGCAAGCATTCAGAAGCAAGATAAATGGCTTTTAAAAAGCCTTATTGTTTTAATGCATTTTTTGGTCATCTCAGTCGAGGAAAAGCTTTCAAAGATCTTACTTTCTGTCAAACTACCATCTGGTATATTTTCTTTCCTCTTGCCACATTACTGACGTTATAGGGACTTTCCTATAAATTAATTGCTTACACCCTATCATCACAAATTTTGAATCAGATGTCCATGTGAGTTGCTCTTTATGAGTTGCCAGCTTGGGAAGATTTTTGCACTTCTTCTGAACTGGAAGTCAAAGATGGTCTGGATCCAGATCAGAGACCTAGTATGTTAGCAAAGTCTTAGGAAAGTCTATCACAGCTTTGGAACATGAAGGAAAAGTTCTGGGCATAATAATTCCTTCCAAGGTTATCTAGAGTGAGAGGTGAGGTGGGAGGGGCAGCAAGTACACTGTGTGAACACCACATTACTATTTGCCAGATTCCTAATGGTTAAGGGAAATTCTCTTCTAACTCAAATCAGTGACCTCATGGACATATGACTGTAGCATTTGGGGCAATAATATAGAAGTAGTTTGCTAGTATATTTCTCCAGGATGTTTTTCTGCTTCCCAATTTAGTCTATAGCTCTGGGATATCTCATCCAAGGACCCACTAGGCTACTGAACTCTAGGAAAGAATTGCCTTTTGAGTAACTACTCTGCTGTGGGGCCTCGCATACGAAGGGACTTCAATGTAATTCTGCATTATTCTCATTTATTTTCCCCCATAATTAGCATTCTAATAACTTGCTGCTATGACATAATGACTAGGAAATTTTTACACCCTTCTAGCTACAACCACTGGGGGTCTTACCTGAGTGGCCAAGATGCCATGACTGAAGCCAGTGTTGTGAGTGCCAGTTCCAATAACTCCACCAGCTGCCACATCTGACACAGCTCCTAAACTGGGCCCCAAAACACATAAAAGGGAGAGATTTAGCTGGGATCCATTCCAAAGATAACTGTTGGAAGATGCTATTAACAAATGTGACATTCATACAAAAGAGCTAATTAACTTCATCTGCTCTGACTTCAAAACATGCCCCAGTGAGTGTTGAACATATGCCACAGCCTATCAAGCCATAGAAATAGGATACTGACTATGAAGGGATGTTGGATACAGATTTGTATTTCTGATCTTGGAGTGATTCCTTGGATTCGTTATATCCTGGCAAGGATATACTCAGGGGTGCATGGATTTCTGACCCTTGTGAATCTGAAATCTTGTTCCTGTGTGTGCTCAATTGGCAGGGGAACCACCTCCACTCCAGGAATCCTTCCATGTTTCCTCTAAAATCCAGGAACATTCGTCTCTCATTTTTGTCCACATCCCATTTAGGGGAAAAAACCAAAATAGTTCTGGATGCCCATGCATTGGTAATTACTCTTGGATAACCTTGGCTGTGAAAAAAAATCCAGTCTTATTAAGTCCTTCTGTGATTAAAGTTCTTGTTGTCACCACACATGAGTGCATCTGCATATGTTCCCATAAGCCCACTTCATTTTCCACTTTGCTTTAAAAGAATTCATTTGTCACTCTGAAAAAGGGGAATGGGGTGGAGGATTCCCTCTGTATTGTAATTACGGTATAAGGTCTTTGGAGTTAACTATACCTGAGCTCCTGTGCTAAAATCATTCTATGCTGCCATAGAAGCAAACTTGTGCCTTGAATCTTAAGTTTGTAATGTATTTGACTAATTTAGATAAGTTGAAATCTGGCCCTAGGGACCTTTACTAGATGGAGCATTCTAAAAAGATCCTTTCGCCCTTCCAATGTCTATTTCAGAATCAGAATAGACTGGAAGGGACCTTTGAGGTTTTCTAGTTCAAACCCCTGCTCAAGCAGGAGACTGTACTATTTCAGACAAGTGACTGTTCAGTCTCTTCTTAAAAACCCCCAGTGATGAAGCACCCACAACTTCTGACAGCAAGCTCAGAGGTTAATTGTCCTCACTGTTAGAAACTTTCTCCTTAATTCCAGGTTGTTTCTCTCCTTGATTACTTTCCATCCATTGTTTCTTGTCCTGCCCTCTGGTGTTTTGGAAAATAAATTGAAGCTCTCTTCTTTGTGGCAACCTCTCAGATACTGGAATACTGCTATCGTGTCCCCCCTAGTCCTTCTTTTCTCTAAACTAGCCAAACCCAAATCCTGCAACTGTTCTTCATATGTTTTTGTTTTAATCGTCTTAGTTTCTGTTGGTTTGATCCACACATCTGGCCACATTTATAGACTAGTGATAATGTTTGGTCTTACATGCATCACAATTATCTGAGCAAGATGCCTACCATCTCAGTGAAGGTTTACTTACATAGGTAAAGCTAAGCCATGTTTGCTCAGCTCCACATTCAGATGAGAGAGTAAAATCCCTGCCTCTACTGTCACTTGCTTCTTCTCTTTATCCACCTGCAAGAGACAATATATTGTTGTGTTAATCAAAGAAGCAATCCTGCAGGAAATATTCACTCAGGACCTATTATGCCGGTCCATGGGCCAACCATAATTTGGAAGAAATGCATCAGACTTCTCACAAGTATTGCACTAAATATTTGATTCTAAAGCAGGAGCATCTTTTTCAAGCCTGCATAGACATTTTTAAAAATATTCATGCTATAATAAGTTGTAAATGGGTCCTGTGCTTGTTTCTTTGGAATTATTTTCAAAGTGGGCACAAGGAGTTTTAAATATAGAGTCAAAAGTTGAAGCAAAAAAAAACCTCATTGAGAGAATTAACATTGTAATCTTTAAACATGATTTATAGATTAACATGAAATTAGAATTTTAGCTTACTTTATCTTTTGATGATCAGCCTTACAGTAATTAAAGCAACCTATGGTTTGGCATGATATGTGAACCTAGCCAGAACTACTCTCCACTCCTTTACCAACATCTAGGAGCTACTTACACATTCCTAGCACTCTTTAGCCTTGTTGGTTTGGCTGCCTTTTTCATAAAAGGAAGGAAGCCTTTAGAATTCTGAAGCCAAGCAAAAAGAATCATCACTCTGACCCAGTGGCCACAGCCCTTTTACCTCAAGGATCTTATTCATCCTTCCCATCTGGATCATGAAATCCTCTGTGCAGGCGATGTCTGATGGGGAGTGTCCACCACCAACCATTTTCACTTTCTTGCTTTTCTGCCTGGCCAGAGCCAAGATCTGCAAAAATGTTAATCACACATTTGCACATTTAGAGTAAGCAATAGGACTAGCGCTTAAACTTATATACAATTTCATAGTGCTTTACAGCTCTCTCTAAGCAGTTACAGAGTCAGCATATTCCCCCCCCCCACCACAATCTGGGTCTTCATTTTACCGACCTTGGAAGGATGGAACGCTGAGTCAACCTTGAGCTGGTCAGGATTGAACTCCTGGCAGTGGAATGCAGAGTTAGCCTGCAGTACTGCATTCCAACCACTGGGCCACCATGGCTCTTAAGCAATACAATAAGCAATTCAATACTTTTTCTAGGGCATATAAGGATTCCCATTAGGTGCAGCTGGCACATTAGAGATAGAGAACAATAGGTCATATTGTTATATGTAGAGAACAATGGGATATAAAGAATATTAGAGGACAAATAAAGAATACAGAGAATAGGTAGAGAACAATAGGTTATAGAGAACATCAAAACAATAGAACACCTGGCTGGATGTTCCTTGCTTACCTCTCTGATCTCATCAACTGATGTTGGCTGGAAATACATTTCTGGAGAGGAACCATAAGTTCTAGCCCAGTTCTGGAATCTGACTCCACCTTCACCATGTACCTAGTGCCCAAAAACACATAGTGGAAGCCCATCCATTTGAGAATTGTAGAAAGTTTCATGAAAACTGCCACTTTTATTTGTTCCCTTCTGGGAGGATTTTTTTTTTAAAAAAAACCATGGATGATTACTTTGCTTGTAATTAACTTGCTGCATCAGCTCCACTTAAAAATGGTAAACTACACACACACAAAAGGAGATACAATAAGACAATTCACAGATTCTAAAATGTAACTCTTCCAACTAACACATCAAGTATTGAGACAGTCTACTTAAAAAAAAATTACAAGACTTTTGAAACAGTTGAATGTAGCCCCTACATTATGAAAGAATACTAGCTGGGGAATTCTGAAAGTTAAAGTCCACATATCTTAAAGCTGTTGAGGTTGAGAAACATTGATCTAACTGACCTTAAAGATGGACCAAATTAGCCTCTGATGCTGATCTTAAAGTTTGGGCAAATTCAAATATTTGTACCATCTCCATGATGAACAAACAAACTGGACTGAGACCATTTTGGCAGGACTATTTGATAT